AGTAGTAGTAGTAGTAGTAGTAGTAGTAGTAGTAGTAGTAGTAGTAGTAGTAGTAGTATTTTAAAAGTATAGTTTCTTGGGACCACTGACGTATCTTTTTACAGAGCCTCAGTCTGGGCTTTACAATCATTCCCAGGATTATTAGCAAAATGTGTGTACAAGCAGATAAGTTGTATGTGCAGATAATGTGTACACATATGAGTAGAGTTAAGATCCAAGACACTCTCGGTTGGGACAGGTGCTAAAGTCAGGGTAGGGCAGTTAGTGAGAAGGTTATTCTCAGGATAATCCATCTCTCTCACAATACCTTCCTTGCTCCTTTTTTTCAAAATCCTTCACAGAAAATTTGTTTAGCAAGGCATAGTTGTGAGTAGATTCTCCATAAAATGAAGTAAGGGGTGGAAATCACTCCATGAAGCCACCAGTTTCAGGTATGTCAAAATCAGAAGATGGCTTTACAAGGAGGAGACTTTCGCTTAACCCCCTTCCCTCCCCATGTCAATTAGACAACAAAAATTAGAAAATGTCATTGTTCTTCGTTTTCCACTCCCATTACATATTAACTTTGTGTAGGTCTGCCATGAAAATATTTATTGGATTTGGATATCTTTGTTTTACTGGAGATATTCTAGTGCAGAGTTGTTTTGTTTTGTTTTGTTTTTATCCTTCGTATTAGACCTTTTTGGGAAAAAGACAACTGTGCATAGTCCTTAGAAGTCCTGTGATCATTCCTTCACCAGCTCTGTGGAAAATCCTAGGTCACACAGAGTTCAACAACCCATAATCCTGAATACTAAATCCAAAATCAGAACTCCTTGCAACATGCTCCTTGTTATTGCAGCAGATTTCTTTTTCTTCTTTCCTTTCCTTTCTCTTTTTTTTACTTACTAAAATAACTAAGAAGTTATTGCAACCCCGACAAGTTGGAAAAATTAGAAAGTATGCACTTTGAAAATGAAGGATAGGAACACGTGTAGACTAAATTGGTATTTAAGAACCTATATTTGTTTTAGCTTAAATTTGCTAAAGCTGGGGTATATAGGGTTTTTTCTTTTCTTTTCTTTCTTTTTTTCAGTTTTAGGGAGAAATGTAATGGTGCAGAATATTGGTACAATATTTGCAGCAAGGTATTTTTTCAGTATTGCACATCAGCCTTGTGCCTAATAACTATATTTTACTTATAAGTTTGATCTGTTGTCATAAGAATTTCAAGTTGTTTTTATTTCACTACATACCAGCCAGGATTTGCAGCAGATTTTTTCTGGAAAAAAATCCTAACTATTCCTTCGTTCTTTCATTTACTATTCAGTTTTTGTATTTACACAGATGACCCCTAAGAAATCAGCAAACATACATGCATGCCCTCTCTTTTCTTCTCATCCACCTCCCTTCCAAGAGTCTGTTGTTTGGCGAATCATGAACCAGTGTTTATACTAGAATAATTTCTAACACCTTTTCTTGCTACTACTGTATTTTAAAGGTAATGTAGAAGTGTGGCCGAAAGGTTTGCCAACAGAATCAGGTTTAACTAAGAAAATATGTACACTGCTTTGACTCGGTAAACTCACGCTCCGAATGGTTCAGCTTCTTCATATTTGCTTTATCCCATATTAGAAAACAATTAGCTTACTAAACAAATTTGAGTATTTAGGGGGAAAGATCTACTTTGAGTCTCTCTCATTTGACTAAGAATTACAGGATATTTGATAAGCTTGTTTAAAAATGGACATATCCAAATATTATCGTAAACACCCAATGATTTGTTTTACCTGCAATATAAGTATTTTACTTAGTTGGCTTACATAGTAGCTAATAATATTTGTTAATGTAATTTAACTGCTGTGAACCTTTACTGAACAAATATTGAAATTTATACAAGTCAAAGAATGAGGATCTCTAATGACTTTTGTAAAGACTTCCGTTTAATAGTTAAAGAGAAAAGTTTATATGACATAGCCAATGTAATTAACAGTAGATTTTACATTTAATAAAAAGAAAGAAGTATATGTATTTGCTTTATTCATTCCTGCATAATTTGCATTACAGTTATGGGTATTTAATGAGCAAATTCCAGCTAAAATGCTATGTTGATTTTCTAAGTGAACTTTGAAATAGCTATGTACCTTACAAAAACTGTCTGTTTACAATTATTATCTATCGTAAAACTACAAGTGTGTTAGACTTGATGGGTTTAGTACAATTACCTTTCCGCAACAGGGGAGGATTTTTATAGTCTAGATGCTGGGTTGGTCACTTTTTATGACAGATACATCATTCAAATGCTTACAGACTAGTCTTCTACCAAATCACTGCAACATGTGTTTTAATAAAGGAAAAAATACATGTTGTTTCTGTCATTTCTGAAACAAAATGTGGGGAGTATTGATTCAGTTGTCTGGTTTGTAGGAGTTATAGGGACGCTTGACCCTCGTTGAAATCAATGGGCTTAAGTGCTTAACTTGTCTGATAACTTTAGCCTGTCTTCCCATCCCCCCTCTGCATATCACAGCACTCTGATGTTGAATATGCACATTTAATTCAATAAGTTTTATATTTCAATTAAAATATTGTCTTAAAAATACTTAAACAGAATAGGTTGGGTTGAAACGCTGTTGCCAAGATAAACGTAGGAGTTCCAGGAAATACCAAAGGTGACTCTGGAGCAAGAGTCCTGGAAGTCCTTGCCAACAGTCCCACTAAAGTCAAATAGATTACCCAGAAATCTTGTTTTTTGTGATAGCAGTAACTCTCTCTCTCTCTCTCTCTCTGAATCCTTTGTTTGCCAGAGTTGTACATAGTACTTATTAAGAGATCATGGTTTCCACTGAACTATAGGAAGATAATGTCAGAGCTACCCCAGATATTCTGCTGCTCAGGGCAGAGAAGTGCTGCCACCACCTATCCAGACACTCCACACAAGACCAGTGGAATTATTTTGGCACAAGGATGCAAATTCCTCTCAATTATATCTCACCATCTTTAGCAGCAAAACAATAATAAATGAAATAATGTATTGCTATTTCAAGGCAGCCAGAATTTGTTGGCTGATGTTGTTCCACCCTATCTGACGTTATGGCCATCCCTGCCTGTTATTTTTTGAGAACAGATTCACGTGTGCAAGAAGGAGCACCACTGAACCTATTAATTTTTTCCTATCACTGAGAAATCAGTCAGATTTCTCAATATTGATGTCTACACTTCAATCTGAGGATTGTATCTCTGTAGATTAGAGCCAGCACTGGATTATTATTTTTTTTTGGACTATGACTCCCAGAATCTTCCTGCCAGCAAAAAAATAGAGGCCCAGCTGGCTGGGACATTCTGGGACGTAGTCCGAAAGGCCGTTTTCTCAGGTTCTGCTCACAGTCACTCTGGGAGATAATTATCATTGCTGTGCCCCATCACTGTACCTTAGAAGAGATACTGGACTGACTCAGATATTGGACTGCTTGGGAACTATAGGGCAAGAAAATAATACTTTGAATGTTCCATTCCCTAATACTATCTGACAAACCATATCTCTAAAACTAGAGGCTGTGGTTGGCCAAACTGTGACTTACCTGCTTCCAACGTAATAAATCACAGGTGGGCTCTCTCATTAGGACTGAGTTATTCCATTCACAGTAGTCTCTAGAATCCACTGGAGGATTTTGCAGACAGATGTAGGAGAAGTTGATATTTGCCAATCTCCTTTTTCTCCTGGGTCCCCCTCCCCTTTATCATTCAAACCTCTAGAGCATATATTTAGAGACAATGAAAGAGCTGCAGAAAAATGAGAGAATCAGTCCCGGAGAGCCCCCTCTTCTATGAACAGCGCTCCGCTGACAGAACCATGGACCCATGCCAGTGGTTTTCCATAGTTCTGGAAGCTAGAGTAGCGGGAATCTTCTATTTTTCTTGCATAAATCTAACCTTTGTGTCTTTTTTGCAATAATGACCGAACTATGGTGTGGGAATATTGCTGTTGAATAGCAAGTTATCTTCATGCAACCCTCAGCAACCCATTTGATGTCACAATGATACTCATTTCTTATGTTCCCATAAACAGACAATGTACTGGAACAGAGATAGAAACCAGGATGCAGTGCTATCACATCATACATCTTTTACTAGACATTTCCAGACAGTAGTAAGTAGGGATGCAGCTGGGAAATAATAATCTGTAATGAATAGAGTCTCAGATGAGACTTGGCTTAAAATCCCTTTTGTGCCGTGGAAACTCACTGGGGGAATGACAAGAGCAAACCACTCCTTGGATGTCTCACCTACTTGGAAACCTTGACCAGTGTCACTGTAAGTCAGAAGCTACTTGACAGCTCATAACAAGAGGGATGCAGCTATCTATGAATACAAGTGGCCAGGAACATCAAAAGCAGGATGCTGTTGTGCTCATGTCCTGCCGTGCCCTTCCCATATGCATCAGTTTAGGCCACAAGAGATGAATGGGGTAGGTCTCTGGCTTTTCTTAAATGTTTAGGTGGTAGGTTAATATCTAATGTTGGCATCTAGCAGAGGTGCAGCATCTGCTTAAAGAAAATTGTAGTGTATCACTGGATGCAGTAATCCCTCAGATACAGCTCAAGAACCTCTCTGGATTATGTCCAGGATGAGGACAATCAATTTGAAATTTTTTAATGTAGTCAAGATTAACCTGGCTACCCTTATGGAAATGGTTGTAAAGCAGGGTGCCATATTTAGCTGTATGACTGGAAATCCATTGATTTGGAAAGTTAGAAGTTTGCCTTGAAGAACAGGAATAATATCTTTCATCTTGATCTACCAATTGAACATAAAATCTTTTATTATACTCTCTACCATGTTCACATGTTAAAACCACTTGCTACATTACAGCTCTAGTAGAAGAAATCCATTCTGCACAACGGGAACGTGATGATGCCATCATGGCTAGACTGAAGCTGGCCAATGAAGAGAGAGATGATGCATGGAAACGAATGAAGCTATTGGAACAGTCTTCTGAAACGTATGTCCCTATTCCATGCTATATGTTAAACATATTATTCTATGTTCAAGTGTCCTACATTTTAGAGAAGACACCACGCTGCATCACACACTCCTTCCTACACACCAGTATTTCTCATCTAGCAACTGCTTCGCCCTTTCCTCTGTAGCCTCTGCAAATCTTGTCAGCCTTAGGAACAAGGTTCACTGATTTACTAAAGCTCTGTTCAGCTCAGCTCATGGTCCAAGTGAGTTGGAGGGGTACAAGACCTGGGTGAGATGATGTGTCTGTTCAGATCATGAGCTGGCTGTGCTATAGCCTCATGTTCTCTTTAAAATCCTTAAATTCTCTTAGGCCTGATTAATGTTGTGTATCTCTTCTTGGGTGCAAGATTATAATCTGCATCTGGGAGTGCAAGGGTATCCAGGAGGAGGAAATGCACCGTGGTTACTTAGAAACAACATTATACAGTATTCAATGAGTGAATGAAATGTCTGCCAAAGGTCCTTTGTGCATAGAGAAGTGAACAATCCATGTAGAGGAGTGACCCATTGCTTCTTTCAATACTTGGATTCTGTGGTTACAATGAATTCTGTATATGAAATATGGAGGAAATTTTCGTTTCTGCTATATTGGCTAACAAGATTGTTAAGGGAGTTATTGGCTTTATTTGTTGCAGTTTTTTACTATTGATTTGCTGACAACTTTGTTCCTGAGACAGAAAGCAAGGTGAATGACTGCAGATAGAAGTGGGTGAGGAGTGGGGAACCAGTATTGATTTTATTCAGAAATAAATCAGTGAAGTGTGACATTTCATAGAGGGATCCAGAGTTTGAACTACAAGGTTGTTGGTCAGAAACTTCTCAATATATAAAATCAGTCAAGTGTTTTGAGGCCAGTAGATACTTTCAATTGGGGGGAAAAACAATTCTTGTTATTAAGAGGTACTATTCAAATACACCCTCCTTTGTCTTCTGAAATACTTCTTGTTATTAAGAGGTACTATTCAAATATTGTACACCCTCCTTTGTCTTCTGAAATATTTATTTTGCAACTAAAAGTAGGATCATTTCTCTGTATATAATAAGTATTAGTGTGTTAACAAAATTGGGGATTCTATGTACAAAAAAGTACATCAGGCGTGGGAAGCTGTACCTCTTCAGATGTTCAACTGAAGAGGTACATTCTTCACATTTGCCATGCTGTTTGGGGCTGGCGGAATTTGGAATTCTATAATACCTGAAGGTCCGCCAGTTCTCTGTGTCATTGACTATTGCTGTGCAATTCACTGCATGTAGTTGTAAGCACACACTTTATATGGATTCCTCCTGACTTATTTTTTGCTAAGCTAGGTACAGTTGCACACCAAGTATAAAAAGGATAATCTTCCATTGGCCTGAAAAATATTCATTTTTGAGTTACAGCTACTAGTTTAGAGGAGATTATATCTGGGAGTTGTTGTCCAGACACACATACACCAGTTGTTTCCTGTCTGTGTATTTGGTGCTATCCAAGCAAGCGCCACCTACTGTTACCTCAGTGAGCAGGCTTGCCTCAACCACTCACATATCCTACAATGATTTACCATGCAAAAACACTATTGTCATTACTGTGTTTGGTGACACCGGCCTGAGGTATACATGGACACTGTGTGATACCTTTTTCCATGTTAAATCATCTCACAGCATTGAATAATATTTCAGTATTCATGCATATTGATTTTTTAAAAAAGTTTTTTTTTACGAAAGCTTTTTATCTGTCTGCATACTGCATTAGACAGTAAATTCAGAGCATTGTGCAAGACTGAATCTAGAAATTGGTCTAAACAACAGATTGCTGATATCTGTATTTTTAATCTAAAAAAACCCTGCAGTTTAAGGCTTGTATGGCATAATTCCAGGACCTCTCTTGCTATAACTAGATGAGATTCTAAGTGTTGTACTGGGATCTAATCCGTGTGCATTATGGCTTCTTGGGAGCCTGCTTGACTATAGCCGCTTACATTCTCTGAAAAACAGCTCCAGAAAATAAGAAATCTCTTTCCCCAGAGCATTTTCAGATTCTAATGAGAAAAGCTGCAGCTGTAAAGGAAAAATTAAGGAAGTTATGTCGATTTCTTTGGACCCATGGATCAAGCTTGAGAGGTGCCATTTAATCTCATGATTGGAATCAGGTCTTGACTGTCATTTATAAGTAGAATGTGACCTTTTGAAACTTTATTATGCATAGAGCCGGCCTTGAAAATGATTGCAAAGGAGTAAGAATAATACATAAAGAGGCTGTACGTTTTAATATTGTACATATAAAAGTTTTCATTAGTGTTTCTGTATAATGTCTTCCTTATCCCTTTATTCCATTACTTGCTACTATTACTGAACCACGTAACTGCGAAATGTGTCTGCACGCAGTTTTTCAGAATCATTTTCACAGAATTGTAAACTTGCTGGCAGCCATTTTCTATAAAAGCAGGGAAGATACTGCACAAATCGATGAATAGGGACCACAAAGGGCTTTCTTTTACATGTACCTTTCACCGGAGTCTAACGTTTTAGAATAAACTTTTAAAAAAATTTCCTGACCTTCTGTTGAGAAATACAAAACGTCACATATTTGGTAAGCCAACCTCAACCCATTTCCCATATACCTAAGACTGCAATCCTACACAAACTTACTTGAAAATAAAGATTCCATTAAAGACTGTAAGACTTGACTTCCCGGCAAATATGTTTTGGATTGGAAAACCAATGTTTTTTATTTTATTTTTAGGGGCCACCGAAACAAAATTAAAATACATAATTTCTTCTGGAAGTTGTAGGTCCAGAAATAAATAAATAAGTCAGAAGAGCATATGTGCTCCTGCCGCAAGGGAACTTTCTTCATCTAAGCACATATGAACAATTGATCCTTGTAGTCATATATAGCAGTAAACATTAATAACTTAACATTCTGAAGTCGGTACTGAAGATATGGTGCATTATTGAAAGATGGAATCGAGCAGGTGGCACTTTAATATGTTCAGTGTCATGGTTGACTCTAAAGACTAGTCGAATGAAATTACTTGAGGGTTCTAAAGATTTAAAAAGCGAACTCATTTTGCTGCACTAAGGAAATGCTACTGATCAGGCTTTCTGTGTCCCTTTTTTCCTAGGCTAGAAAATATTAACCCTGAAGAAAATGACATGGTAAGCCATTCTCTGAGGAGATTTCTTGATGTCAGTCTTCTATCTTAGAGGCTTAAGTTCAATTGAGTGGGTTTCAGGAACTAAGATGTGGGAAAAAAGAAGAATTGACACACTAATAATGTACATCTTTGCTGCAGTATGAAAATTCAATAACTTCACTCAGTCAATTTACAATTCGCATGTGCCTATTAATTAAAACCCTATATTAAATAAAATATATTAAAACTTCTTGTCTGACTAACATAGAATGCTGTTGGTAGACATTACAGGAATTACTGAACAGAATAAACAATGCAGACACCGGGTTAGCGATACGGAGGACTGGTGCTGTAATTGTCGATCGAATATACAGGACCCAGGAACGGAAAAAGAAAATAACAGCTGAAGAAATGAATGCAGTGATAGAAGAACGAGATGCTGCATTGGCTCAAGTAAGTCTGTATTATTTTATAAAAGATTTGTTGGCGGATATCCATCTACCCCCTTCTCTTCACTGCTGGAGAAATGAATGACTCCCTTGTTTAAGATTTAGCTTTTTAAGAAAACTTTCTTATGCACAAATCATTCTTGTAAATTCTTGCAGGAAAGTAGCAATATTATATTAAAGGGCTCATTCATATTTCCAAGCCACCTCAGTATGATCTTGTATGATAAATCTTATATTTACTAGGGCAAAATACTTCATGTATACCATATAAAAAAGAAATTGAGATTTCCAGTTAAGATTAAAATCCAATATGCCCTTGTAAAATTCGATATGGGAAGTTTGAAGGAATAACTGAAATATAACGCAAACGTAAAGTATTGGCAGCTGGAACAAGACTAGGATACATCAAAAATAACATATGAAAACAGGCTCTGAGAAAAACAAGTGAATTGTGAGCTTTGAGCTGTAAGTCTAATGCCTTCTTTCTGGCTTACTTCTAAGAAGACATGTTGAAGATGGCACTGTAAGAATTTACAGGATATTGTCACTAAAATGGGAGTCAACAAAGTAAAAGCATTTCAATCACCTGCTGGCTATTTTACTGAAGAAGTGAGCTTCCTGTCTTTGATTGGCTTGGTTCCAGTGTGGTATGGTACAGCTAAGGCTCCATATCATTTCCAGAAAGAGATAGAATCATAGAAAAGTGAAGTTGGAAGGGGCCTACTAGGCCATAAAGTCCAACCCCCTGCTTGATGGAGGAATACAATCAAAGTGTATCTGGCAGGTGATTATCTCAGTTTTTCTTGATTGTCCCCAGTGTTGGAAAACTCACCAACTCCTGAGGTAAATGGTTCCATTGCCGTACTGCTCTAACAGTTAGGACGTTTTTCCTGATATTCAACCAAAATCTGGCTTCCTTTAACTTGAGCCCATTGTTGTCTGTCCTGCACTCTGGGATGATCTGTCTCTCCTCTGTATGACAGCCTTTCAACTATTGGAAAATTGCTATCATATCTCCCCTCAGTCTTCTTTTCTCAAGGCTAAACACGCCCAATTATTTCAGCCTTGCCTCATGAGGCTTGGTTTCCAGCCCCATGATCATACTTGACACCCTCCTCTGAACTTGTTCCAATTTGTTAGCATCCTTCTTGAAGTGTGGTGTACAGGACACAATACCCAAAGTGAGGCCTAACCAGTGCTGAATAGAGGAGGACTAGCACCTCACGGGATTTGGAAACTATACTTCTGTTAATGCAGCCTAAAATGCATTAACATTTAGCTTTCATATTTAGCTTGTGATCTACAACAATTCCAAGATCCTTCTCACTTGTAGTTTTGCTGAGCCAGGTATCCCCTATCTTGTAAATGTGCAATTGGTTTTTTTCCCCGAGGTGCATTACTTTGCACTTATCCCTGTTGAATTTCATTCTGTTGCTTTCAGCCCAGTGCTCCATCCTATCAAGGTGATTTTGAATTTTGTTTCTGTCTTCTAGGGTATTAGCTATTTGGCCCAATTTGGTATCTCCAAATTGGACAGGCATTCCCTGCAATCCCTCGTCCAAGTCATTAATAAAAATATTGAAGAGCACCAGGTCCAGGACTGAGCCTTGGGGTACCCCACTATTTACCTCCTCCCAGTTAAAGAAGGACCCATTAATCTTCACCTTCTGCGTACAATTCTGTAGCCAATTGTGTAACCACCTGACACTTGATCTATGCAGCCTACACCTAGTTGGTTTGCTAATCAGGATATCATGGGGCAATTTGTCAAGTTTTGCTGAAATTCAGATATACTACGTCTACAGCATTCCCTCTGTCTATCAGGAGGTTACCTGATCAAAAAACAAGATCAAATTAGTTTGGCAGGATTTGTTCTTGACAAACCCATGTTGGCTTCTAGTTATTGCTGCATTGTTTCTAGGTGCTTGCACAATGAGAGCTTTACGATCTCTTCCAGAATTTTGCCTGGGATTGATGTCAGGCTGACTGGCCTGCAGTTTCCAGGTTCCTCTTTTTTGCCCTTTTTGGAAATAGGTACAACATTGGCCCTCCTCCAGTCCTCTGGCACCTCCCCCGTTTCCCATGATTTCAAGAAAATAATGGATAGCGGTTCTGAGAGTTCTTAAGCCAGTTCCTTCAATACTCTCAGATGCAGTTCATCCGGCCCCGGAGATCTGAATTCATTCAAGGTGGTAAGGTAATCCTTGACTATTTGTTTATCTATCTCCAGCTGCAACCCTGTCCCCTCCCCCACTTGCACTTCCAATTTGTTTGGAAGTTCATACTCTGTCATATGGGAAAATACGCAACTAAAATAGGAATTGAGCACCTCTGCCTTTTCTTAGTTCTCTGCTATCATTTTTCCATCTCCATTGAGGAGCTGTGCCACTGTATCTTTTGCTACTCACATACCTGAAGAATGCTTTTTAAAATTGCTTTTAGTGTCTCTAGCTAACCTCTTTGGAAAGGAGTCTCATTCACTGTAGTTGCACAATTTAGATGGACGCAACTTTTGTTGTATGAAGGAGTGAGTATGACAGTTTAATAGGAGGCACAGGCTTAAACTTACAATAACTTTTTCCCAGAAAAGAGGAACTCCTTCCATTTGCAGCTTTTTCATATTTCCCTATGCTTTCCCAGAGGGCCCTCTAACCCTTGACTCAGGTTTTCAAGAGCTCTGAGGAATGCAGAAGGAAGGGCCAGCCAATGGAAATGGACTGTCACCCTCTGGACCTGACAAAACTGATTATACAATCTTCTTGGGATGGTAGGACGTCAAGTATTTTTCATAGCGAAAGGTACCAGTGAGGTTATAAACTATGGTGTGGGTAGCTGACCATAGCCAACTGCTCCATAAATACATCCCTTCGCAATCTACTTGTAGAGAAAGGATGCAGTGATACCTGTGTGGTTTGTAGTTGTGAGTTACAGTAGCAAGTAGGAGGCACTGGTCAGAAATGGGACGATATGGGACCGAAATGAAAGCAGCCGCATGAAAATCATAAGGGGAAATAGAAGTGGAAGGGCTGCTTGGGAGTGAAAAAGAGGATGATAACTATGATACTAGACCCCTGAGGAAGGAATTGCAGAAGAAAAAGATGATACAGTGGAACTCAGAAAAACATTGCTCCTAGTAAGCAGTACTAAGCTAAGCAGGAAGAGCAATGGTGCCTTGGGGGATTCTGGTCTACCAGTTTTACAGGCAAGAATCCTCTTAGTTGCAGGAGAATAAGTGTAGTGACATAAATGGCTTCAGCAAATTGTCATGAGAAATACAAATTGCCATTTGTATTTCTTGTGAGCCAACTCACACAACTGATACACAACAAAGGATACAAGCAATAACTTGTTAGCTAATGGTGACTCACCACTGTACTTGTATATTGGTGTAATTAACTAGTAGCATTCTGGTCATAACAGAAGTGGCTCTGTAAGTTTCTGGTCTGTTTGCAGTAAAACCTAGAAAGACTTTGAGCACCCTGAAGAACACACTGTATTTTGAGATAAGTGCTTGTGGACTGTTACTCTGTGTGGAAGTTTTATGCCAAAGAAAATTTGTTCACCTTTAAGGTGCAATTAGGTTCCTCAATTTCATTTCTAAAAGTAACTCTACTATCTCTGAGTTAAAATATTGGAACCTAGAAAGTCATTGGGGAGAGGTTTCCATTGCTTATAGGTCACTGCTCCTCAGTCTGTGACAAAGGAATACTTAGTCTGTCTTTGAACATCATCAACAAGAACAAGCCCAGAGACCCCTTACATAATTTGTTACATTACCAAATTCTGACTATCAAGAATTTTCCTCTGATACTCAACCAGAGAAGAAACTTTCCTATAATTAAAACCTAAGGACCAGCATTCTATTATTAATGCCAATGAAGAGTAGACCCATTGAGTTAGCTGCTGAATAGTATGACAGAATGGTATCCTTCAGTCTCGAGAAACTATGGTAACATACTCTGTATGGAGAACTTGGAGAGTGTCCTTTCCAGAGCACAAGCCTGGGTAAAATAATATGGAGGATAGGCTGTTACCCAAGCAGCAACTCCCCCCTCTCTACATTGCTGAAATAGTCCAATGGAAAGGCAAGAGCCAATACAACTGGTTCCAGCAACATCACAGGAGTTGCCAGAATGACACAAACTGCCTCCGGAACTCCAGCTCCGGATTTTGCCTCGAGGTTAACTCCTGAAGCCTTTTCCATAGTATGACAACACTTATTTAAATCTCATGGAGTCAATGGGTCACCCAAGTTATAAGCCAGCAATAGGATACTGACTGATAGACCCAATCCTGACTGTTAAGGCAGCAAATAAGCTATGCTTTTGTTTGCTAAAGTTCTGGCCAGTAGTATGAGAATGACTATTTTAGATTCTATTGAATGCCACAAATGCAAAGATATTTTTTTAAAAATGTTATTATGAAGGCAAGTAACTACTTTGAGGGGTTGGACCAGGAACGGTTACTGATTCCTTTAAATTAACTTTCTAAGCTCTGGTTAGGGTTATTATTCAGATACAAACTTAAGTACTGTACTTAGTACAAGCCATAATTAACTTAGTGAGTCTATTGCCACAGAGTATGGGTAAGTTTTGTGTGAATGATGCCAATCTGTCTTTTGATCCCATTGTAGAGTTTTCTTGGTCTATTCAGGAAGAGAAATCTCTGGCTCTCCAGTTAATACATTTCTGCTTCCTTCATCCTTGAACCATTGCTCATGCCAACTGCAATTGATAGAAGTTGGAGTCCCGCCACATCTGTAAAGCCACAGATTCCCAACTCTTAGAGTGCAGTTTGATTATTAGATCCCAGGAGTGACATGACTGAGAACTCTAAAGCAATTTTCCTCAACCTGGACTTAGGCTCCCATGATCCTTCAATATTAGCCGGGTTAGCAGGGGCAGATGGGAATTTCAGTTCAAAATATCTGGAGTAGGTTGTTGCACTGGTGTCTGACTGACTACTGCTGAAAACAGAATTTAGATTGACTTCGGTGCAGTTTAT